CGCCGAGCGTCGTGCGCCTGCACCGTCCGCGAACCTTGAACCTGTCTGCCTAAAATCCTCGAGGTCGAATCCCGTTAAAATCACTCGACGAGAGCGAGTGTCACGAGCCACCGGAATTCGATTCACACCCCCGTGTTGGTCGGTTCCATTTCCTTCGCCATGTGGTCGGCCTAATAGTCACTTTAAACGATGTTCGGGCGTAGAGTGGCACGGATTTCGGGGGTCCGAGTCGTTAAATCGAGCGGACACGAAACGGAGCAGCTGTGAAAATTTGTTTTTCAGAGACACGACCGTGCACGTGTGTCTGACGCGTGTGTTTCCCTGGAGCGGCAGAAACGGTCCGGTTTTCCCCGTTTTCGAGAGGCGGCGAGGGATGAAACCCTTGTGCCAGCCGACACCCTTGTCGACGTCTTCTCGTATACAAGGGGTTGTGTTCCAGCTCGGATACTCTTTCTCGCTCGCTCCCTCCTCGAGGAGTGGGCCGCTCGTGCGAAAGAATGGACACAAAAGGGACGGGGGTGCGAAGTCCGGGACGAATATCTTCGACTGTCTGTAGATCCAAGTACGCGTTACAAACTCGTATGCCCGATTCCCAAAGTTTCATTGTGATCGTTGCTCGCGGGAGGAAGACACTCGTGTGGTTCGTGAGAGAGCTCGCGAGAGCCTGGAAGGGAATCGAAGGGAAAGAAAAGAAGGGCTCGGTGTTCGGATTGCGTCGTAGGCTTCTGCCTGTGTAGAAACAAACGTACGAGGAAGTCCTTTGAAGCGGGAAAGACGCGCCAGCCCCCGGGACCCTTTTATGTCGCACCCCACCGGCCGATTTTATCTCTGCAACAGTTACTCCGGACACCCGGGGGAGCCGAGGTACGTAATTAGTGGATCGCGACGGATACCTTGACTCTCGGCAATTATGGGGCCCTTCGACGTTACGGCGAATAATAGCATTCCGATTCACGGTGGCTCGTAATAGGGGTAGCGTGGGGAATATGGGGTGGTTAGATTCGACCAATCTGTTCCGTCAAAGTGGACCGTTCCGATCGAATTCAGCCCGATCCCAATCCCAACGAAAGAAACATCCTACCACTCGGGGGACCGTGGAGGATTTCAGGAATCGCGAGGTGGGAATCCGATAGCCGGACTCTGTCATAATTCCACGCGGTAATAACGTAAACAGGACGCGCGGTAGGACCCAACCACGTGGTCGTTAAGTCCGTTGTACGTAAATCATGGAACATGCACGGGGCCTGGATAGGAAGCGTCGTGGACCTCTGACGCACATGTCCCGGATACGGGGTCCGGGTACGACGTGGAAAGAAAAACACAGAAGGCACTGGTACGCTCGCCGTGCCAAAGTGTCGTGGCTCTAACGAGGATGGGGGTTTAAGGCTGCGGTCAGAGACTTGGGAAGTCGTACATTCGCGACCGCAAGAGAAATTAAATCTACGGAGTTATTGCGCGGAATGCCACGAGTCGTCTCGTACGGTGTGCGAACGAACAGGGAAGCGATCATTTTCCAGGGAAAAAATACGAGAAACATCGGAACGTTGTTCGCGCGATAATACAATAGGGGGACATTCGTTTCAATTTCTTTGCTCGCGCGAGTCAGATCTGCGGACGGTTCCAGGTTCCCACGTGCAGCAGGCTTTATCATCGTCTCGATAGGTCAATTGAGGATAGGGTAGTATCGTGGTTTCGTATCTTGGACGCATCCGGAGTGTATCCCCCCGGAATATTGTGCACCCCAACGGAGAATTAGGGGTGTTCTCCGTTTCCGGAATCGCGAAACGGTCAAAGGGACCGACGATGAAGGCAATAAACACGCGCGTCTACGGCCGCCATCTCGTTGGATCTTCATTGATAAATTGACGTTGGTTCGCCTCCCTTGAAGAAGCATTAAATAATCGACCCCCTCCGACCATCAGCCAATCGACCGCGTCCATCTTCGTAACGCCGTGAAATTGAACGTGACACGTCGAGATAAGAACGAAATACTACCTCCAACGGCTTTTTCAATTTCCCATTCTGTTCTCTGTACGCAGACATCGCCATGGACTGGTCGGACCACGCGTTATGGTGGCCCGAGAGGAATCATTGGCTGACCAGAACGAGAAGCACTCTGGATCAGTATGGCGTCGCGGCGGACGCGCTCCTGCATTTCACACCGATGCACAAAACTCTGAGAGTGCAACTGCCGGATATGCGGTGTCTCGACTGCAAGGTCGACTTCTCCGTCAAAACATTCAACGCCGTGATCAATCTGTGCAAAGAATTGGGTGAGTGTCGTCTTTAGAAACACAGTACTACCCTAATCGAGATATCGCGATTGTAAAATTCAACGTTCCCATTTCGAAATCGGAGAGGAAAATTCGACTGCTCGCTAGTTGACGGTTGGGCGACAACGAGGTGTGTAAATCGGGCTAAAATTCGAAAGAACGTCGGTGCTAAACGGTCGTTGAGGTCGAGCGTCTTGAGGCGAGAGACTACAGGCGGGCCCGTTCGCACGACGCCTAGCCGTGGCGGTGCTAATTAGTCCCGATAATGAAATAAAATTGTTAAATTCCCAGTCACGCGAAGGTCACGGGAGCCTTCGTGCCCGATGTTGAGCATGGCTGTTCTAACGGGCAGCTTTTTTAATCAAGGAAGTGGTTCGCCGCGATAATGAAGGCATTGTATCGCGCCGCCTTGCTTTCCAGTCGGAAAAAACCAGCCGAGAAAATATTCTTTTGTTCGGTGGCACGCCGAGGATAATTAATCGACGTGGTTTCGTGGTGTAACGAGCTTTCGCGCGGGACCATGGAAAAACGGCAGGCAACGGTAATTGCCAACGCGCAAAAATAACTTATCCGTGTCGCTGTATCGGTTATTACGTCGCCTTTCTTGTTTTTTGAACACGTACTCGCGGACAGATGACCTCGCCGATAGCCTCACTCGTGTCATACTCGTAAATAGACGTGGTATAGCGCGCGAGCTCCTCGTCCCGACATCGTTTCCTCGTAATAAACAAATTACAGGAAAAAATGCGTGCAGACTATCGAACCGCGTGCCGTTGCGAAACAGCGTATTCCGAGAAACCAGAGAACGCGTGTACGACTCGAGCATCTTCCGTAATCTTCTATCTTCGAACGTTTAGGTATCAGACATCCGGAGGAATTGTCGTTTTGCAAGCCGCTGGAGCCTAATCACCTGAAATACAATTTGAAAGACTTACCGGCGAAGAAGAAGATCGAGAACCAGAAGAACGGGCATTGGAACGTCCCCGCGGACACGAACACGTTCATTCCAGTGAGCCAGAGTCCCAGGGGATCGACGGGTAGCTTGGACCAGAGCAGCCCTTTCATGTGCGCGCCGGTCACACCCAACAACAGAAATCACAGCACGCCGATCAGCTCGCCCGTCTCGGTAAGTACGAATCTCTAGACCACGCCACCAGCGGTGTATCGTGGATCTGGTCGACCGATAGGATCGGAAATACCAGAGAGAGCCGGACCGGACCTGTTATGGTAATAAATAATCCCCGATCGACCTGATTGCCGCCGCTATGATTTATCGATATTGGCCTATCATTACCGCTTACGGAGTCGTTCATCTCAGAAAACTAATTTGCTTCTCGCGAGCGGCCCGTTTTTCCGGCCGGTGGTAGTCATTAGGTGTATTTATTGCTCCACCGCGAGCACGATCTCGTTTGTGTACCAGCGTAGACTCACGTTTCCCCCTTTTGCTTGCGTTTCTTCCAGCAAACCGGTACCTGGAAGAGGAACAACAACTCGTCAGGTTTTGGTAGCACCGGCTCGTTCAACGCCAACAATAGCACTATGAGTCTGGAGGTGCTGAACGGAGGATTGTCCGAGTCGCTGGCCCAGAGTCCCGCCACGATCTCGCCGGAAGTGCGCGGAAAATTGATCAGGCCGAAGAATCTCGTGGAACGCGCCAGGATGAACGTTGCCTGGCTCGACTCGTCCCTGTCGATCATGGAGCAGGGAATACGCGAATTCGATACCCTCAGGCTGAAGTTCAAGTTCTATTCGTTCTACGACCTGAACCCGAAAACCGACGCCGTCAGGATCAACATGATTTACGAGCAGGCCAAATGGCAGCTGCTCGCCGAGGAGATCGACTGCACCGAGGAGGAGATGCTCATGTTCGCTGCGCTGCAGGTACTCTTCGTTTCTTACCCCCGCGACTCAGCTACCCTTTCCGTTTGCCTGGATTCGCGTGCTACCACTGCGAGGAGCCAGCTGCGCAATCGTTTACGCGGCTAACGTCTTCACGATCCAAACATCCGGCGCTCGCCGACCGGATCGATCTATATATACGGTCGGAGTCAGTCCCGGTGAGCCGTGGACGGAAATAGCTGGCGATGACACGAGAGATCGCAGCGGAGGACCAGTTTCTGAAATTGAAAAAAAGATCGGCTTATTAAGACGACTAATAATAGACGGATAAAAAGTAAACTCCTTCGACTCTTTCGGTGCGGCCAATTAAACGCACTCGATCCGCCCCTGCGATAAATCGCCCCCGCACAGCTCATTCCTCGTATGCAAATCTCGTTTCCTTAAATCGACCAACAGATCGAGGAAACGTTCGCGTCGTTTTTCCCGATACACGCCTACCGGTTTCTCCGATCGCGTCACGGCTATCGGGTAAAAAAGCGGAGGTCATATCTGAGATAGAAACAAGATGGACGTCGGCTTCATTTGCATTCTGTTTTGCAGGTGCAGGTAAATCTTCAAGCGAGCGTGCCGCAGCCGAATTACGACAGCAATGGCGCCGCTTCTCCGGCCGAGGATGACATCGACGCAGCCTTGACTGACCTCCAGGTGACCCTGGAGGGTAGCAACATCAGTAACGGGCCCAGCGACATCACTCAGGTGCCCGAGCTGTGCGACTACCTGCGCTTCTTGAAGCCGAAGCGCTTCACCCTGAGGGCGTTAAAACGCTACTGGGTTACCTGCAGGGATCTTCAGCTCAGGCTATACAAGAGTCGAGAGGAGACCAACAGCACCGAATCACCTGCCCACGTGATCAATTTGCGCGGATGCGAGGTCACGCCCGATGTCCATCTCTCGCAAGGTCGCTACGGGATCAGGCTGGAGGTACCCAGCGCTGAGGGCATGACCGAGATGTGGATCAGATGCGACAACGTGAGTACCACTCAACTCCGCCTTTGGCCACGCCGACGTTCCCATTTGATATTTAATTAACCTCGGATTAGTAAGCTGGATCGAGATTGGATAGCGTGGCTGCTGTTGTATCGCCTCTGTGTAGGAATTATGGAGTTCTCTGCTGTTCGTTATAGGAACAGCAATATGCAAAATGGATGGCGGCGTGTAGACTAGCGGCCAAAGGACGCTCTCTCGCAGATGCCTCTTATGAGAGCGAGGTAAACAGTATCACGGCCTTCTTGCAACTGCAGAGGCCAGCTCCCGCTCCTGCGATCAATCCAAATGCTCTTGATATCGTGCCCGAAGACTATGTTGCTCCGAGATTCGCGAAGAAGTTCAAAGGAAAGGTACGTTACATCGTCGATGCTTATTATTGTTAATTGGTTTCAGTAGCTGATTTCCTCTTCTTATTTTGTACAGTTGGTTCAGAGGATTCTGGAGGCACACGCTAATGTCAAGGGTCTGTCTCTAATCGAGGCTAAGTTGAACTATATTAGAGCCTGGCAATCTCTTCCCGAGTACGGTATCTCGCTGTTCATCGTCAGATTCACTGGAAAGGGCAAGGACGAGTTGCTGGGCATCGCTAATAATAGGCTGATGCGAATGGAACTCCACAGTGGTGACCACTTGAAAACATGGAGATACAACACGATGAAGGTAAACGTATACGGGACATATGGAGGGTTTAGTTAAAGGCTTTCTACTATCGATATCTCGTTTCCACAGGCATGGAACGTGAACTGGGAAGTGAAGCATATGATGGTTCAATTCGAGGAAGAGAATATTATCTTTGAGTGTCAGTCAGCGGACTGCAAAGTTGTCCACGAGTTTATCGGAGGATACATATTCTTGTCGATGCGATCGAAAGAAGCTAATCAAACGTTGAACGAAGAAATGTTCCACAAACTAACCGGTGGATGGGTTTAGGAATCTGCGGGATGTCTATTGAAAAGTCTTATTCCGAAAAATTTACGACACTTAGCGAAGTCTAATTTGTTATCATTTGCGGTAATGAAAAGCCCTGATCTGAGAAATAACGCGTCACGTTAGCTGACATTTGTAAAAAATACTTAAATCTATCATTAAATGTTTTATTATAGTATTTGTAAATAGAGAGATCGTATCGTCTGTATACAACTAGCGCGCTCGCGACGGGTGCAACTTTTATTTCACGTAGGAAATGACTCGTTTTAGCGAATTTATCGTTTATCCGAGGTACGATCGTAGAACGGTTGATTTATCAGCAACCTGGAGATAAACAAATGTTTGTAAAGTGATACGGGCGTAATAACGAATTAATTTTGTACATGATCACGAAATAGTCTTTATTCGCTGAAGTTTCGTCGTAGAATGTAGACATAACGTGTCTTACGATCGAGCGAAACACGCACAAAATCGTCGACCAGAGTAAACCGCGCCCTTTTCTACACGCGATGCTGTTGATTAAGGTCATGGACAAATTAATATTTTTACAAAGATAAGCATGTTATATTCGAGCTGCCCACTAGACTCAACCTCACTAGATAATATTCTTGATTATTTCTTCCATCGCCAGGTCAACCTCTCTCAGGCGAAATATACATACGTGTAGTTTTAACATCAGGGGGTGCTATGTCGGGCGAGATTGACTTAGATGCGAAGATATACTAAATCGTGTAAATTATTTGTTGTTTTAATGTAAACTATATATATTAAAAATATTTACTTGTACCGTTATATATTATCTACTTATATTATATCACGTTGCCGAACGTGTAATCAAAAATTATAGTTTTGTATATTAATAGATGCTAGTTGTATAATAAACTTAATTATTATCATTTCCTGAGATCTATTATCGATTCATAGCGCTCGGTGAACGCAAAAGTACGCACTGTTAAAATCGAGAAATTCTTTATTAAAGTATGCGTTATTAAAAATCATGTATAGATCAACAATATTCAGGAAAGTAAAAAGGCATTATAAACATTCGTGGCTCGTCGACGTTCGACGCACGAACGATGCTGGTTCATGCTTGTCGGCCCTATGTGTTTCATCACTCGACGACGGACAATTGTGTTTCTTTACCTGCGTTATCCGTAGACTTTATGGGATTACCGTGACTTTGATTCTCGGAATTCTTATACGATGGTAAACCTCTTAGTACTACGGGTACGTTGCAAGCCCCTGCAGCCCCTGCGCCAACCAAGTTTCCTCCGCCTCCGCAAGTCTAGCGTAGAATAAAACGGTCGTAAACTATGCGGAGAGAAAATGTGTCGAAAATTAATTTTGTAGCTAAACAGCGAATCACCTGAGCGTGAATAGGCGGTGCTGAATGTACTAATCGACCAGTAAGAGATCCGGGTTTTTCTTTTTTGGTGCGTACCCATTCGTGGCTTAGAACCCTTTCCAGAGTTAACCTCAAAGTGATGTCTGGTTCTAGGATGTGTTTGACAATGCTTTTCGCCAACGCGGACATCGTTTCCCGCACTCGCGATCGAAACATCCAGTTCCTCGACATCTGATCCTTTAATAGTTTCTTCAGGTTTGAGTCGTCAAAGGGCATAGAGGCGTTTAACATGATGAACAGGATTATTCCAAGTGACCAAACGTCGGCTAGTTTCGGGTTATAAGGGGTTCCAGAAACAACCTCCGGTGCAGCGTATGCCGCAGAGCCACAATAGGTCTCGCTAAGAACACGTCTGCCTTCGTGGTCAACGCAAAATCTCGCGAAACCAAAATCCGCAAGCTTCACGTTAAATTTCCTGGATAACAAAATGTTCTCGCATTTGAGATCACGGTGAGCGATGTTTTTCCCGTGGAGGTAGTGCAGACCGGACGCCATCTGTCTGAACCAAAGTTTCGATTGTTGTTCCGGTACGACACCGTTCCTTTTGACAAAGTCCAAGAGGTCGCCATTGTCCGCGTAACGCATAAATATGAAAACTCTTGGTCCACGCTGCAATATACTGTGCACCTGTAATTTTCGTTGTCCACTGTGAAATAACGTATTATTTGGTTCGTGGCGAAGTCTTACTTGGATGATGTGCGGATTTTCAATTTTTGTAAGGATTTCGAGTTCGCGGGGAAAGAATTTGTTGAGAAAATCAAGCGGCGCTTTTTCTTTGTCGAATATCTTACAAGCTAATCGCAATTTCTTTGAGCTTGTTCCGTCCACGTACTCGGCCAGGTGTACGGTCGCATACGAGCCCTAACATTTACAAAATTCCAGTTTACCTTCGAGTATAATTATTCAATGAAAAAAAAGATTTCAAGTCGCGAAAAATAAAAGGTATAAAGAACGTGTAGTCGTTCTACGAAAGAGATGAGGAGAACATGGGAGTGTATCAAAGAGAACGTACAGTTAAAAAAGGAACAGACGACGCAATATTGTAGAGTGAACGCGAGAAACAGGTAGAGTGGAAGTGGAAGAGGTTAACGAACAGGCAGGGAATACGGGGTTAGGGGTAAATAACCTGTCCGATCTTTTTGCTAATAAGATAGCCCCGCTGCTCAAGAGCGTTCACCTCCGAATTTCGGGGGCTGAGTTGCGTGGCCATGCCAGTGGATCTTCATTGGACTTCGGATCCTGATAACAGATAACTGGTTCTTCTTTTTTCCCTTCTCCTTCCTCGCACAGGTTTCGGTTTCCTTTAGTTCTTTCGCATTAAGAACTTATTCTTCCTTTACCTTGTACTGCGACAAGTTTTCTCTAGTTCCCTCCTCCAAACGCCTACCCGTACTTTCTTCGAACGCGATTCGATCAATTTTGTCGCCAGAGATCGGTAGTTCGCGCTCCGCAAGGAGCCGAAGGACGCCTCGCTGAATATCACGTCGATGAATCCGATTCGGGGATCCGTTCTGTCATTTCAAATGGCTGTGTGCACTAGAATTTTGAGCGTCGACACCAGCTTGTACCTGGTACGGAACGGGGCAGAGGAAAAGATCCGTGTCTCATTCGAACACAGCCATTATGTTCAAAAACAACAAACGGTTGATTCGCGAGCGCGATTTCGCCACGACCAGATTCGATTTTGAAGTATATTCACATCATATGTGTACTTTTGATACACGAAGTATATTTCACAAACGTATCTCTTCTTCCTTATTACATCAACTTCAGAGATTAATTTAAAATAAATCGATGTTTGGGTTTATTGATATTTTTTATTAAACATTATGATACAGTGCGTAAAAATGAATTACGCAGCAGGATCGTCACCCTTAGTAGTACGCGTGTAAATTAGTTGCGCATGATGCTGTACAACTTGCTTAATAAGTCCTTTTTGTTGCAATTCGATCAATGCTCTCCTGGCAAGTGATCCACGAATCTTTAACCTTTCACTAACAATTGACGGTGTGATCAATTTATATAGCGGCACTTCCTTCAACAATTTTTCATACGTGCCCTTATCAAACAGTACTTGATTGTTTAATTTGTCACGTACTTTTCCCTTGGACCACTTCTACAATGAAAGACAAACAGAGAATGTAAACTATACTTTTCGATTAATTCCTTTAGATATATTTATCATAAAATACATATCAGTCTCATTAAATCAGCTTTTTACTTCCATTGTTCTTCAAGGCTATATATACTCATCATTAAATAGTTTCTTATTAATCCAAGATGTGAAATGGTAATACGATACAAACCTTCTTCTTAGCTTTACCACCAGATCCTCCTTCCTTTTTCTTCTGTATTTTTTGTGGCTGCTTTGAAGATCCCTTTGTATCCTTTTTGGGCGGCTAAAATATACGATAAAAGTTAATAAAATGTATAAAAAATACAAGTATCACAAGATAGAGGATATTCATCAAACTCATTAAATCGGTGTTTTCCTATCATGAAGTTTATCAATGATAAATTCTTCATCATGATGATTTATTGAAAACAGTATTAATTCGTGAGTAACATACTTTACAATATTGTTATTTTTTCGCTAACTCTTCCAAATGTCAACAAAATATGAACATAGCAAAAGAGGTTAGAATTGACATTTTAACAAAATCAAAATATTTTGTAGAATGTATCAAAATAATTATAAGACTAATTAATTCTATAAAACTAATTAAAAAATAATTTCATTAAATATAATAATATTGAAACAAAGTATCTCGACTGCACTGTAAACACCATGTGGATGAAATTACAACGAAAGGTTATCAAACTAGATATAAAATTCATATAAAATTCACAAATAAATTTTTAAAACAGAAACACAACACTACATGGAAGAGAAATTTTTACGACACTCTTTACGTTAGTACATGTTATTTCAATCAATATTATTACAATAGAAGTAAAATTTCTGCCTCGTAAATACTCACCATGGTGGAATTCCTCTCAGAAAGGAAAGGGAAGTACGTCTATCGCCATCTTGAATACGTGTTACATCCAGTGCCCTCTATATTACTACATGAATCAACATCATCTACAAAAGGAAGTAAAAAATGCAATAAGCAGTATAATGATATGTAAATAAATTTATAACTGAACTGAAATTAATTCTCGTATTGGAAATTAATAAATTGAATTCAGAAAATGTGTGACACGTGTAGTGTATAGCACGGAATCTGGCTGTCAGTCGCTCAGGAGTGGCTGTAGCGTGTAAAGCATGGCGCTGCACCGTGTGTTTTTGAGTCCTGGTTTTTCACATCTTTGACCCGTTCGTAAAATGTATTCGCGGTAAGAATACTCTTTGCTGTAATTTAGTCAATCACAAACGTCCACTTGTACTTATTTCTATGCAAAAAGGTAATTTCTTTTCTTACAAATATTACTTTTATGTAAGGTTAAGATACCTTTCACTGTTACGACGTGTTATTCATGTTTTTATTCTGTGCGTGTTGTTAAGGTTATACGGGTAGATTGAATGGCGTAACAGTGTATAACGTGGCAGTTTATCGTGGATAGTGTGTTTAATTTAAAAAATAGATTTTCAACGTTATTAATAAATATCTTTGACAGATAAGTAAGAGTACCATTAATCAGCTGTATATTTGGCCATTCATACTTGACATATTTTTAGTTCTATAGCGTGAATATTTTTATTAAAGCATAATATTTATGTTTCAATATTACATTAATATGTAAATATAATTAATTACAGTGCTCATATAGAAAAATTTTGAAAAAAGTTCAGATATATATAAATATATGTCAAATTTTAATTGACTAAAACATTACTTTTTATTTTTAGGATAAATTTCATTACTAAAAACAAGTCTCATATTGGGAAAAATGCTTCCACTTTCGCACAAAGACACAAGGAACTTTGGTAGCAAGATAACGGAGAAGTTACTGGAATGGAAACATTTGATATTTTCTGACCCAAATACCAGGAATTTATTTTTATTTCTTATGTTGAATTTATCTTTTGCCTGCATTGAATTAATGTATGGAATATGGACAAACAGCTTGGGTTTAATATCGGATAGTTTCCATATGTTCTTTGATTGTACTGGTTTATTATTTGGCTTGGCTGCATCGGTTATTACAAAATGGAGGGCAAACGAGCGATACTCTTATGGCTATGTCAGAGCAGAAGTTCTGGGTGGATTTGTTAATGCTCTGCTCCTATTTTTTATTGCTTTGTTCATTATGTCAGAAGCTGTGGAAAGAGCCATAGAACCACCAGAGATAAAACACGAAAGACTTTTGGTTGTATCTATTATGGGATTAATAGTTAATTTAGTAGGGATGTATGTGTTCCATCATGGACATGGACACGGACATGGACATGGAATGGGACATGGTCATTCCCATTCTCATTCTCATGGAAGTCATGGACATTCTCATTTGAACCACAGCCACAGTCATGATCATCATGATATCGAGATCGATACTTCCTTCAGTGGGACAAATTCTCAGATCATGAAAGGAGTTTTCTTGCATATCTTAGCAGACACTCTTGGATCTGTAGGTGTAATTATATCAGCCGTGCTGATGCGTTTGTTTGGTTGGTTTATAGCTGATCCAATTTGTTCTATGTTGATCTCAGTATTGATAGTTTTAAGTGTGCTTTCTTTAATGAAAGACTCATGGGAGATATTAATGCAAAGGCAACCAGCTGTATTGGATCATATTTTACCACAGTGTTATAACAAGGTGACTCAATTGGCTGGAGTATATAACGTGCAAGAACCACACTTTTGGACTCTTTGTTCGGATGTATACGTTGGGTGCTTGAAATTGGAAGTTGCTAGAACAGTAGAGCCTAAATACGTTGTAGCACACACTCAAATGATTTTCCAAGCTGCCGGAGTAAGGCATCTAACTGTTCAATTAGATTATGCACCTATGTGATCTATGAAAACTACGCATGTTATAAAGTGTTCTTACAAGTGCTCCAAGACTATGTTTATTTGTGGAGTTTGTCAAAAGCAAGCAAGAAACATTACACTAATGCAAAATATTTTTGCCATTTTAAAATTATGCAGATGCATTGTTCTAAGTAACAGTGAATATCATCTTGGGTTACAGATTATTTAAAAATCTGTTGAAGTTTTAAAAGAAAAAGAAAAACAAAACAAACTACAAATAGCCTGTGTGACACAGGATATCAATACATATTTAAGATATTCCAACTTCATTGTCAAATTAGTGCATTTAACGATTGATATTCATCGCGAATAAAAATCATTGACATCATTTCTTTTTATTCTTGCTGTTATAAATTTAGATATTTTTATTTGCTGCCACCAATGCTATGCCACTTCATGAACTTGCGGCTTATCTTTGTTTATACAAACTTTGACTCTCCATTATTCGTCGACTAAAAGTAACAGTGAATGTTTTATATCACTTGTTAAAATCTTTATATCAAAATGCATTTAAGGGCTTATTTAAGCCATATCTATAAAAATATTTTTACGTCACCTTTGCTACCGTATTGATTTATATACAATTACAATTTACAATAAAATCCGAAAATTATGGCCAAATATGCGCAAAATAATGAACTAAAAGAACTCGCGTTCGTACATGACTACAGTGGCCATAACTATACACAGACAGCTGTAGACAGCTAGTCATTACTATACAGAAAGTGTGAAATATATGTTATATATAAATACAACTTTATAAGATGTAATATAAATCGATATTCTTACGTTTAAACGAAGTTGTGCTTTCCTCATGATACATCATGGTTTTGGCATTCTGTTCGCGTTAAGTGTATTCATTCAATCGATAATAAGCATTTATGAACATTTAACGCACACAGGATGATCGTTTTATGGCAATATATTTGTATTTACGAAATATCATTTATAAATATTCGATAGATGAATTGCGAATGATATCAAAATAAATATATTATAGAAAATTTTTCTAAAAGCTGACAATGAAATTTTATTCATTCCATTTGGCTATAAGGGATAGAAATGAAATAAAATTTCATTTCATTTCATTTAGTAAACATAGTTTCCTACGATATATTTTATACGCACGTAGTGCAAACGGTCAGCTGTTTGGTATTCATTTCCTTAACATTAGAATATATCCTCCGAAACGAAACGGTTATCAAATTAGGATTAACGACAGATCTGTAAGCATAAATTATAAGAACGACCAGGACATTCCATTATAGTCGAGGTGTACTATTTGTATACTTGAAATTGTGATGATGTAGGCCAAAAATATAGCTATCGATAGAATGGAATGAAACCAGGGTAGAAATCAATTAGAATGTATAGAAATGATGTAGGGAGGAATTTTTCTATCGAGTTACTATACCATCGTATATTGGAGCGAGCGAATTATTTGTTATCCTATCCGGCAAGGCTACTACGAAAGACGATGCAATTTCCGAGATGAAAGTCGACACTGTTACGTTTTATTAACATTATTGTATAAACGAAAAATTCAGGAGAGTATGTTTTCGACATCGACAAAATGTAAATAATAAAGTAAAATATCTATAATAATTTTCGAGTCTCTCGTTCACGGCCCTTTGATCGGCACTACTTTCTCATGTACGTCTAGTAATTTTTTTATTTCTTCGTCACACTTGGTGCTTATCGAGTACATTTATTTTTCGTCGATATAGGGAATTATTTTCACGAAGGTTTTTCAAACACATATTACATTTATTTGAAGGATATGTATACACATATAAATACATAAATATTTATAGTAAAATTACCGAAGCTGATTCCACACGATGCAGCGATCTTGAACGCGTCTGGCGACGCGCATGCGCGTATGGTGTCAGCTTCAGTCTCTCACCGCTTTAATTAGTGTACTCCTTAAAACGGCCTCGTAAAATTTAACAGATCGTATCTCTGATCGGGATACCATTTTCTTGTGTCGTGCGGTGTCTTATGTACATAGCAAACTATCAAAAATGAAAAACTGTACGGAACTCGTCCCTGCGAGGCTACACCTGCCTATCTAAAGTGGACGATAAAAGGTAATCAAAAACTCCGTTTCCTCGCTAATGGTACGAAAAATCGAGCGAACACCGTGGAACTGCTTTTCGCATAAAGCTGAACTGAAACCGATCGAACTTACTCGTTGATTTGTTTCACGTTAAACTCGTTCTATTTCTTTTTTTTCTCTCTCTCTCTCTCTCTTCATTATCTCTTTCTTTTTTTCTTCGAGATGTATGGCAGTATCGCGTTCTTCGTGGTTTCTGCTTGATATTGGCAAAGAAATAGCAGACATCACACCATGCGTTCTAGTTCGGCGATCGATAAAATAGAAATCGTCGCATCGCGCTTATCCTAAAAATAACGAACTCGTGATATAATATCGATAGTCGCGATTAAAATCTACATTACGATTTGGCAGTTGTGTGTTGCACGTATTTTTTTTTTTTTTTTTAAATCGTAAAGATATATATTTTTTTGTTGCTTTTTTCTCGTTCTTTGTTTCCTTATTTTTATACAATATAATAGCCATCGTTTTCTATTTAGTGTGTACCGCAGAATTCGAAATTCGAGGACGCCTCTCTCTCCCTCCTTCACTGGATACGTATGTATTTCTTCTACCCGCTACTATAGAATATAATTTATAAAATTTCTTCAAGTCTCCAACAACGCGCCATCCGGTAAAGCCATTTCACTCTTGGATCGTCGATTGCAATTCAATCGATCGTAACATTTAATAATCGTGATCAGAATATACTAATAATCGTATGAATAATAATAATAATCGTAATAATGACAATAATAATAATAATATATTACTCTGAATCATATTTTACAGTCCATCTAACAACAACGAACGTACCTAGTTGCAACAGCCTCTTTTTTATTTATTTTTTCTATTTTTTCTCTTTTTAAATATCTTTCGGTAATACGTATGCGCGAGTACGTGTGCGTGTGTGTACGTGTGTATGTGTGTGCACATATCTATGCGTGTTCGTGTGTGTTGGTCTTACGGATAACTTTTTCTTCTCGTTTCGTTATTTCATGGTTTCTCGTTTGATCGCTCTTTCACGTTCGAAAGAATATGTACCCTATCTCTTCTAAAATAAAGATCCCTTCTCTACGATTTCGACATCTCTCTGCGTTTATAACGGGCCATCGAGAATAATGCTCGTGCTAACAATGCTACGACCTATGCTCTACATCGTTTAGGAAAGTGACGACGCGCAGAAAAGGAAATCACAGTAAGACGAAAATCCACAAAGTGTCGGCTTCGATCCCTCTCTCGTTCTCCACACCTCTCTACTCCCCGCTGTATGAATAGTCTTCTTATTCTACATGCCTCTTATGGCTAACATCGTCGATCTCGTATCATTCTAAAACTACACGCTTATATTCTCATCCTAGACGTTCTCCTAGCCTCTCTCCTCCTCCGAGATCCGTTTCACCGGATCGCTCGTGGTTACCCAAGAATCATGCGCAACCAATATAACTCGTCTCTACTTTGGACGTTTCTCGTCTCTATATTTTTCTCTCGTTCACGATCAAATTCCAGTCCTTATTTTTCCATGGCCACGTTCTCCGGCGAGCGGACAATCAAGAAACTTCCAAGTCGCTGACAACCAAGGGTGCTGCGCCGACGGATCTTCACTTCTTCTTACCCTTGCTGTTCTTCTGGATCTTCGTGATCTTCAGCCTGCAGTTCGACCCACCGGTGTACACCACCTCGGCCCTTCCACCTTCCTCTATCGCGGCAACCAGAGCCTTCACCGACTTCACGTGCACGTCTTTGGCGCTGATCTCCAACGAGGTACCCGGGAATCGGTCCCTCACGCATTTCCCGACGCTGGAAGCCTGCGTTTCCGTCAGATCAACGCCGTCCAGGCAGAGCCAAGTTAAGTACTGAAGATGCGTGAGGATCGTCTGCACGAATACGTGCTCCATCTGCACCTTCTTCGCGCTGTCGGTCACGATCAGCCCGTTCGCTTTTAGAAAACTCAGGTTGCATAATTTTAGGTACTTCGCGATCTGCCTCATCGTCTTCTCGCTGTCCTCCAAGGTGACCCGCCAGAAGTTGATCCTCAGCGACTGTAAGTTCCTGAAGTGAGAAGAGAGGCAGGCGAAGAACTGCTGCAGGATCTTGTCGTCGATGAAGAGCAGCGATCCGCTGCTGCCCCCTATGGTGGACTTGTCCAGCGAGAGGTCGAGCTCGCTGAGCGCGGTGAAGCCCGCGAGGAACGGCAACAGCAACGGCCCTCGAAGCGCCAGACGATCGTTCACTGTCACCTGCAATCAGAAATAACCTCGTGCATCGCTTTGCTCACGCCACAATTTTCCTGCCTCTTCCTCGGCCACGAAAGAAGACCGTAACGAAGACGGATGGATGGGAATTTCGGCGTACGTTGGAGGAATTTCGATGGAGGACTTCGACCGGATGGTGGAGGAAGGAGAGTATCACGGAAGCGACGCGTAATTTTCGAAAGTTCACGCGGAGGATGGAGGATCGCGACACGTCGATGGTCGCAGCTCGCTTTGCACGACGCGATCGAGCAGCCCGGAACCAGTTCTCCGGGCAGGACGAATAATCTAGCGCGGTCAGGACGACCAGACCGCAAACGAATCATCGTCGGCCTCAAATTACGAATCAGCCGGTTCGACTTGGCTCGAGTGTCTCGAATGTGTCATGTCGCGTCGAATCCTCCGGGAACTCGATACTACTCGCCTTCTCCGCGCTCAACGTAACGCGTTGTTACCTTCTTGTTCTGGTACACGCGATACGAGCATTTACACGGGCCCTCGAAGCACTTGGAGAACAAGCGAGCGGAATAGAAGCCGCTTTTAGACCTCCCTTACAATTAGATATCGCGTAGCCTGCATTCAGATACGGTTCAATTAGCCACTCTATTTACGGCACAAAGAGACGGAGCCTCTCGAAGATCGGGGAGGAGAAGATTCCTCGAGGAGAGACTCCCCACCTCCGCAGTTTCCAGCTACTACCGACCATCGAGGAATCAGTTTCGACGTCTTGTTAAGTCGGTCGCTGATCTAATTCGTAATTACGAAACTCGCGGAGGAGTCAGAAGGCCAGGACGAGGCCAGGGGAGGGATGAGCAGGGATCCTTTTCGAGGAAAAGAGGATTACTTACTTGAAAACCGGCCAGCCTGAGGAATACAATCGCGGGACAAGCAGGGGGCGGCGCGGCTCTGAGTAGCTCGGCCCCGGCGTCGTCGCGACGCCCTAATCTCGCCAAAGGACCCTCGTGGACGGCCAGATGTAGCCGGGCGTTGCAAAGGCTCAGCTCACGGACGCTCGTGTATCTCAGCAGCTCGGAGAACACCGCCAGGCTGTCCGATTCCTGAAACATCCATTCCATTTCTTCCTTGCCGATCTTCCCATCTGCATACGTGAGTTATTTATCTGTACCTTGTTAAGATACCGTACAAATTCGAAACATTCATAAATTTGACTCTCGAATCGTTCGTCGATCGGTACAGAATTTAAGACACGGGTACGCCATAAGCGAAGCTAGAATTTTAGCTTAGGGTATTTATTAGTTTGCGAAACTTGAAGGAGAAGCTTCATTAGCAACTTCGGTACTGCGTGTCGAGTTTGGCTTATACGTGTACGTCTACGAGACCTCGTAATTGGTGTAAACGCAGGTGCCATTATCTAGCCTAAACTGATATGGTCATTATTGCGTCAACGGCTACTTGGCAGTTAGCGCTGACGCCTGTTACAGCGAAGGTAGTTCGCCAACGCCTGTATAAGCAGAATTCACTGGAAACTGTTAATACCTAACAAATACTCGAAGCTAAAATCATACGTTCTAGGTCCACTTTTCGTTTACCTAACCTCCCAAAATTTCACCCAAAATAAAATTTCGTGACCGTGACGTTCGTAGCCGTGTTATTGATCGTAAATATCGACGAATCTCGAGACTACACATTCCTCGGCTAGATCCGCACGCGAAGACTCTTTGATCACTCGCGGCTGTGCATTATTAATACAGGAGAAGAGGCTCGGCTGAGAGCGTCGCGACGCCGAAATCGCACGCGGTATTACGTTACGCCGGCAATGAGACGAGAACAAAGCGAGGTGTGCAAGCACAATGGCTGCCGAGATTACAGGATCGCGTGCATGGCGCGATGCAAGACGAAGCTCCGACGATAATGCCAAAGCTAACAAGCTGCGACTAATCTCTAAATCGGGTTTACCGTCGCTTTGCTTCCCGCCATGTTGCTACTCGTTTGCAACGAAGATGGAACGCGTAACGCGATCAGCTCACAGGCCGTGGAACGTCGAGGCGTGGCCCCTGAAATCTTCGACTGCTCCCACGAACCTAATCGCCGGAAGTGCCTATCGGTACCGGTATCGGGACGCGTCGCCTCGCGATCCAATTAGGCGACACGCCGTTCATCGAGAGGCGTCGTTAGGCGTCGAACAGCTTCAAATTGATCCCGAAGCCGGGCCTCACCGATCCAAATGACTCCCTTCTACTTAGCCTTGCCTGTTCCCGGCGTCGCGACGGAAATACGACGCGCGATCATCCCCCTTTGGTTTCTCTCGAATGGCTGCTGCCGGAAAGCAGCTTTGACAGAAAATTGCATTCCGGATGAAGAGGAATCGCGGCACGATCGAGACCGTCGACGTTCCACGGCACATCTCGCGACTGCAGTCTCAGCGACCCGGTTGCACGACGAATCGATAGGGAAGGGTGGGATTACAACGTCGTTAAAAATACTCGTAGACGAGTCACCGTGTTTAAAAATGTTTACTCGATTATCGGAGCAACAAGTGTCGCTCGTTATTTCAACCGACCGCGTCTGTTTCGTCGGCCTTGGGTCGAAATTAATCCGTCTATGGTCGCAAAAAGGGTGTCGCTACCCCTTACCGTCCCAGCTTTTTGTCTCGCGACTAATCGCTTCGCTTCCCTACCGATCGTTCTTACCGAACGTTCTTGTCACCCGTTCCTCGCTTGTCTTTCGGTCCCGAGGAATTCAAGGTCGCCGGGAAACACGTCGCAAGCCTTTCGCAACCTTTTTACCCCCGAGGTATATCCCAGAGGTATTCAGCCGTTTTTCTCGCGCGAGATAATTTCACCGGCGGATCGCGTGATTTACGAAGGCAGCTTTCACGGGAACGCTGCCACGACTCGAATAGGAAAGGCTGGGAAAATTGGCGAAAATTACGATCGGCGCGGACCAAACGTCAGGAGAGCAGGCGTTGAATTAGAAGAAGCTGGGTAAAAATTAAAGCGTTTGCAAAATAAAACTCCCCCTATCGCAACACAGGTTAAAGGCTTTATTTTAGAGATACTCGAGGCAGCACGCCTCTTCTCGATAACTGACCCAGAATTTTTGGGTTTTCAAACACAGTGTAGATGGGTTTTCTCCCACTACATGTAGACCTTTTCAGGTCACGTCATAAATTACTTACCTCTACTTCAACAGCAGGATTACATCGCGTTTCCTGGTGCGTGTAACGAACCTAGGTTGTTCTTGCATTTTCCCTCCCGAATATTTACCAACCGTACCGAGATAGGAACAGCTCTCGATGAATAATGGAAACAGAAGATGCAGAGATCTACGAATTTTAATATGCGCGTTCCTCTTTTCGGAAGACCTGTTCACGAATTAGAAGAAGCTGCCAGATTACCGAGGATCGAAATACATAGGCTTCCACAGCTCGATCCATCCCCAAATTTCGACCGAATGTTAGCTGTCGGAAAGTTAACCTGCCCCGCGTGGCGGACGACGTTTCGACGAATCACCCCTCGTTTCCACCCCTCGGCGGGAATTATTAATAACCGACACGGTTCGAGGACTCGTGCAGCTTTCGAGCGGGAAATTGCGACAAGCCACCGCGTATTCCGCTCTCGTCGCAACTCGGTGCAACTCGTGTCAACGAACGTCATCGCGAAAATCACGGGGAAAACACGGAGGGTGTCGTTGATCGCGGGCAACGATGGCCGACAGGGGCTCGCGCTCGAAAATTGTTTTTCGCCCGCGGCCTCGTTGATACTGTGCCGCGCAACGGTCCGGTCGATTCGCTGAAAAATACCGGAGTGGTCGCATAAATTCAATGAATCGGCAGCAGTGGCACGGTTCTTTTTAAATGGAAATCATGCCGGATCGTGACAGGTCGAACAATAATGTCGCGGCCGGAGAGCGGCGGAGGGTGGAGAGGGTAGAACGGGGAGGCAGGGTGGAGAGAGAGGAAGAAAGAGGGTTGCGACGAGCAGCATTGTTTATAATCACCCTCGTGCGTTAAATTAAATCTGCCCGGGTTCGTCCCGCTTCATTGTTTCCGCGCGTGATATCGCCGGGCCAGGGCCAGGATTTTACGGTTGTACAATTTATCCTGGATATTCCGCGAATTATGCGCTTCCCGACGCCCTTCCCGCTCCTGTGAAGCGTTCCTGTACGGTTTACCCGCGTTACCGATGCGATTAACCCTTCGCGGACGAGCGTTGCATATACGCGTTCGGAGGAAACTATCAGTTTGGCCGAGGAACTTGTAGCGACCATCGTTCACAACGTCGTTAGATGGATTCCGACTTTGAGGACTTTCTCGCAAGTCCTCGGAGAACCCCCAATCCTATATATATATGTAGGAATTATTTAGGAGGCAGCAAAAGGACGGTGGTAGATAATAAAACTTATTTATTATGAACTGATTTAGTAGATGCTGTGACCTTTCACACTGACTCTCACAGGACTCTCCTTCCGAACTGTTCGTTTCCCGCCCATGCACCCTTATATATCATTTGCATTCAGGCGTGGAATATTTCGCGAGCCCGCGACTGTCTACTATTAGAGAGCGCAGAATATTCCACAATAGCGGAAAATTTCATAAAATCGTGCGTGGAATATTCCACGCTAACCATTCCTACATATATAACGTCCCTTCCAATAGTATCCCAGTCTCTAAGGCAGGGCCTGCTAATAGGTAGCCTTACAGCTGAGTCCACTAGCAGGTCCAGGACGAAACGCATCCGTTCCTTTTCCCTACTGTCCCTTCCAGCAACGCTGTCAATGAGGATATAGATGACGGACCATGACGGACCCCCTATAAACTCATATATGCGATCTTGGAAAACATCTGATAGGGTCGAGGGGATTCATAAATGTATCCCACGTAATTGCTATGGCCGAGAAACACGTATATATGTGCCCATTGTTGCGGTCCTAGGACTGCATGTCCCAAGTTAAGTGGTGAGCTGTTTTATGTCCTTATCGCCAATGTCGCTATGAACGAAAATTGTGTTTAACACGTTAAGTGCCCAGACTAGGACCAAAAGGTGCTAACTTCTGGTGTTAAATTCTTCGCCATCTTTGGACCTAACGCTTGGGAATTCTTGTTATAACAATTGGTACAGTATCTTCGAGTTTTATGAACACTTGGCCCACCGCTGGTAACCCATTTGACGGCCAAGTCTGGGCCTAAACGGAACAGCGAGCAAAACGGGGGCTGGGCACTTAACGTGTTAAGTAGAAACGAGCGCTGGTAGTTTCGAATGACTATTAATCGGTGGTACGGTTTACTCAAAACCACTCTGTCCACCATCGTGGTCCGATAGACCGGTTCCATGACCGGGAACCACGGAGTTAAGGAGGTTCGTTTTTGCCCAGCCCAATTCCGCCGAGACCGAGTCGAGCTTGTGCCCACAGTCTCGCGCTTTTATCTCCTCCCGCTGTGACCCGGGCTACCCTTCTTCGACTATTCGACGAGTATGAATATCGAGGATGTACTCGAGGTCGTAAAGCCAGAGCCAGAGGTAGGGTGAAGAGACGACTGTCGCGATTGATCCCGCGGCCGCGATTTTCCGGGACAATTTCGCCGCGGCGTGGGTGTTGTTTTGAATAGAACGCCTGGCGAAATCGGTTTGCATAATGGAGGGGAAGATACGTTGGACGCGGCGGTATTTTCATGGAAATTTTCGACGATCCCCGTAGACTCTGGTCAGGACTATGGTAAAGGATGCTGGAGCGTCGGGGGTCGCGCTAGAATGGGGTTGCGCGTAATTTATCGCGGGCAATATTACCGGCGACGTTGAGCGGCCTGGAAAGCCGGTATTTTACTGGCAGAGGATCCCATATTTCGACCTGCACTCTTTGCCGCCCTGAATTTAAACGAATTGTTTCCAGATCGGGCATATTCGGGGGGTCGAAGCGCGCGGTAAGTGGATTTTAAAATAGCCAGAGGCGGCCCCGAATTAAAGGGCTGGCGGAAAAATTACAGGGACATTCGAAAGAGACGCACGAAATTCGATAAAGCCGAGGGAAAATCGCGCTGCGACGATCGCTACCGGTTTTCGATATTGATATTCCTGTTGCAGAGGTAAATTAATATGGC